AATCGCTATGCTGTCTGGTTCTTTAGAAATGATATTTTCATGATTTTACCTAGTCTTTTGTAGACATGTAGGGAATATAATATTCTGATTAATTAAATGCTTTTAATGTGTAGAATTTTAAAACATACAAAAACATGTCTAGAATAGATAAAATACATTTAATATATGCTTATCACAGTCCCTAACTGGTAATATGTGTTCACCAAATGTTTATTGAGTGAATCAATCAATCAGTGTTAATATTACACTATATTGAGCATAATTTAATCTTCCTTTGATAATTCAAAATAATTCCTACAGGTAAAATGTAGCAAAGTACAAGTTGTGAAATCACTACTTGCTTGAATGCTAAATGACTAAGTGTTTATTCCATTTCACATCTTTGTGTCTATGTGGAAATTCACTAAAGTCTGTTTTATGTCTTATATTGCAGTGTTCTCATCCTCCATTTCTGTTGACTTCCTCTTTGGGTTATCACGTATTATTTCCTTTAGCTTAATTAAATTACTTTTGTTGATCACTTAACACCATTGTGTTTTGGTTTGGTTTCTTCACATATAAAATTACTTACTTTATTGGGTACCGGGATTGTCTGTCCTTCAGTCTATTTTTCTCTGTCTAGACACTCAATAAACGTATCTTGATTTGGATATTGTTTGAGTTATGTTTCTTTACTAATGGTTACTGCCATTTTCCCTTTAATCCAATACAGAGAGAAGTAATCACCAAAACAAAAAACAAATTACAATATAACCCAGACCTTACAAATGAAAGCTATTTCCTCCATCTTAAAACTGCATATTATCTCTGCACAACCTCAGAAGGGTTTCAGAATGCGGTACATACAATTAAAGGAATAAAATGTTTCATCAGAGAAAAAAAGTGTAAGACAAAAATGCCTAAATTCAAACTGAAAATGTTGCTAGCTACTATTATCAAGCTGCTAATGTTTTCCATTTTACAGTTCTTTTCTTGACAGATATTCAAGTATTTGCTAATCAAACCTATCATTAAAGCCAAAAATTCTTCCTAAATACATGATTGAGAAATCAAAATATTTAAACCAACTAAAATGATTTTATTTTTCTTAAAAGAGAGGAAAATGAAAGCTAACTCTTATGGAAGTAAGTTTTCACTCTTTAACCATATTTTTATCCTTCATTTTCTCCGGGAGAGGTTTCCAGTTGTGGTTTTCAATCATCAGAAACCTACATTTATAGAAAATCATTAGGTAATTCTAGTTACTAGAATCAGCCGGGCAAAGGAACAGTGCGAAGCTGGAGTTTGGAGCCATTTCCCAGACCAATTGAGAAGAGGTACCATTTTAATCAGTTACCTTCTGAGACTGTTCACATTTAATTATATTAGTGGCACTTGACATTATAAAATGTTCTTTTCTTTCAAACATAACCTTCTATCATCATTAGTAAATGTCAAACGTAATGAAGTGTTTTTCTGACTTCCTATTCTTCTTGATATCATGGGAGAGAAAAATGCTAATACGTTTGTAATTCTGAAATCGTTTTCAGTACTCAAAACCAATGCAGAACCAACTTGGTGTCTGTTTATTAGCTTAATATTACTCTTTTTATTTGCCTTGCATTTAGAAAGAAAATTTCCTCTGTATTCCTTACTACACTTCCCCTACTTGGTGCAATTTCTTATTCTGCCTGAGAATTTTTAGGTGACGACTACTTCCAATCAGATTGTGTTTCTGGGTTCAAATCAAAATGGTGTGGGAGGTTCTGCCCCTTGCTTTGACTTAAGTGCTATCTGAAATCTTCAATTTTTTTTTCTTAAAAGCTTTTTTTGTTCCCCTCACTCTATTTTTAAATTTTGATACTTAATGGCTATTCAGCCCTGTGGTTTCCTGTAACATCTCAATCATACTATAATGGGGCCTTGATTTCTGCTCTCTCAAAGACTAAATACACCCACGATGTGAAATTGATGTGTTTTATAACACTAGAACTAGTTTCTTTACTGTCAAAATAAAATTAACATCTTATGAAAAGGGAAGCCATCACTAGAAGAGGTCAAGAATAAAGAGATAATGTCATAGTTTTCCAACACAGCGCTATTCAGTGTCTGTGTTGAAGACACGCTTGACAGCAAGGGTCTGGGTCCCCTTTTAGCAGTGCTTCTGGTATATTGGCTGTTTGCTCCTATTGAGAAATTAGGGAAAAGCCTCTATTGTACAGAGAAGGCAGCAGGAATGGGGTCTTCAACCTGTAAGAAAGCTATTCAATCAATGCCAAAAAGATATTTTCCTAAGAGATAAAAGAAAGCCATTTAAAGCTACTTCACAATAGGCCAAAAAAAAAAAAAAAGGTAATTTTAAGGATAACATGTTCTGGAAAATATGAACCCAAGTCAAAGTCGATAAGTTTTAAAACAGAATGATTAGTTATAAGGGGTTCTGTTCCCCAGAGAGCTAAAATATATTACACAATCTCTGATTATACCTTGCTTTTTAAACATGGTCTTTGGGAATTTGGTTCTCTAACTTTCTTCTTTATTTCACATGTGGATATACTGTTACTTGAATTATATCCAACGAATATCCAGGACTATCCAAATAAGCTCAAGATTTGCTTCTCTCTGCCTAACAAATTTGTGTATTTGTCCCAATTATATGCAGTTTATGATAGCCATATTTATGTCTAACATCTACACTTTCAAATTTATAAAATACTAAGCAATGTATAATAAATATTCAAATAATGGCCAGGTAACTTCTATTATAAAGGCATGAAACTATGCAGCGTTGCATTTCTAATATTATGCATGGGATTCAACTCTTTTTACAAATTAATTAGCTATTTGTGTGTCTCTTAATAAAAAATTTTAAAAATTAGAATATTTAACATTTTTCTTAATGATTTCTCACACTAGTTAATATATTAAAGATATTAACTTTTGGGGGGCTGGCCCGGTGGTGCAAGCAGTTAAGTGCGCACCCTCCACTGCGACAGCCCGGGGTTTGCAGGTTTGGATCCCGGGCGTGACCAGACGCATCGCTTGTCAGGCCATGCTGTGGTGGTGTCCCATATAAAGTGGAGGAAGATGGGCACGGATGTTAGCTCAGGGCCAGTCTTCCTCAGCAAAAAGAGGAGGATTGGCGGATGTTAGCACAGGGCTGAACTTCCTCACACACAAAAAAAAAGATATTAACTTTTGGTCTCTCTAGTACCATGCAAATATAGTTCCCAGTTTACCATTTGATTATATATCATTTCAATTTTATTTATAGATATTTTTCTATATTCAAGGAATTGTCAAATTTTCATGTGGTGAAATATATATTATCCTTTTTGCTTTCTGCTATTGGTGGTATGTTCTGAAAGACCTTCCCCACCGATTTTGCTTTATTTTTGCTGTCTTGGGTATCATAATCTGTTTTCATCATACCTTTGGAACCTTATTTCCCTTATTTACCTAATAAAAACACCTTCCAATCAGGCCAGCCTTATCCCTGCTCCAAGAGTAGAATATAATTGTTGCTGGCTTCATGAAAAGTCACACCCTTAGCTAATTTTCAAGTTCCATTTCACACCACCACGTTCTCCTGGAATCATTTGTTGATTTCCTCAGCCTTCTTTATCACGCTTCTCTGAACTTCCAGGAGCCAAACAGAACGTAGCACACAAATTAGGAGAAAATTGTAAGCAATCTTGAGTTTCCCACGTTGCTCCACAGTGGAATGTAAGCATCCAAGCAGGAGATACCTGTGGGTGAAGAACAGCGTATTCAACATAAGCCCGTCATAATAGTGAGACCCAGGAGATGTTAGCTTCATTTTGATGCCAAAGGAATCTATTCTTGTGTCATCCAACACACTAGCTTTCCCTTCAAGGGCTATTTAGTCTTAGGGGTATTTGGGATGCGCTCTGTGTACAAAGAAGGCACCTCTGGGAGAAGGGGAGCCAGAGGATCCACCCTGAAGTCAGAAAGAAGGTAACATTTCTGTCCAAAATGCTAAGTACCCAGAGTGCTAGTAAAAATAAGTCAGAGTGCAGTCTCCATGGAAAATGGTGAAGGGGAAAACCAAGGACCATTGGTTTGCAAGTGATACCCCGGATCCTGAGAAGACAAGGGGGCAAGAGTTGGTTGAATTGAGGAATAATTTCTTGAGCTACACTCTACAGTTCACATGACATATGGAGGTTATTTCAGTGATGTAGCTGCCTCTGATTCCCAGATTTAACTGTTCCGTGCCATCTCTCTTGCAGGCCCAGAACCCTTGTCTTTGTAAGCTGCTATCTCCCATCCTGTGTTAGCCTTGCCTCCCCAAATTTCAGGAACAACAACCAGTACTTGCGGTTTACTGACCGCTTTTTCTGTGCCAGACTCTGTGTGCAGCGCTTTACATGTGCTATTTCCTGTAACCCTAACAGGCATGCCAGACCTTGAAGGCAGTCACTTCACAGAGGTTCAGTGGCTTGTCCACATTCCCCCAGCTCGCTAATGAGAGAGCAGGAAGCCAGATCTGTCTGACTCAAACTTCCACACAAAGCAGATATTTTTATTCTCATTTTATGGTTGAATAAACTGAGACTAAACTGCATGCCTTTGAAAGCAGAGACTTTTTCATAAACTTCTTTTTTTCCCCACAGTGGCTGTACTTAGTAGAGAGACAATAAATATGCAATGATGGAGCTAATGTACTCTTCTGATTTTAAACGATACAAAAGCCACAGATTTGATATGTATAATGTTTCTTTTTATTTTATTTTTTATAATTAGATGCTACTTAATGAGAGTGAACATATATAGAAGGTACTTTGAACTACATCTTTACCAAAAAAAAAAAAAATTTTCATAATAATATAGAGCTTCCATATAAAAACCATTAGGAAAAACAAGACAAAAAAAGACGTATAGCTGTGCATTGCAAGTACAGTTTAGACTCTCTATAGCGACTATTTCTGGAATTGCCAGATGTATTGGCAAAGATGTATTGCCTTTTCTTTTGAGACATTATTATTGTTATTTTTCAGGACACAGCAGGCCAGGAAAGATACAGGACTATCACCACCGCCTATTATCGTGGGGCCATGGGCTTTATTTTAATGTATGACATCACAAATGAGGAATCCTTCAATGCGGTACAGGACTGGTAAGTAAGAGCAAATGCTTTCATTACTAATAATGATTTTTTCATTCAACTCTCTCTTTCTCCTCAAAGCAATGACCACACTGCAATGTAATATGTGTGTTTATTATATGCTATGATTCTACTTGTGCTTCATAAAGCAAACAAATGCTAGCTATGCTCAGAATTGTTATTTAGGGGCCAGCCTGGTGGCACAAGTGGTTAAGTGCGCGCACTCCGCTGTGGCGGCCCGGGTTTTGCCGGTTCGGATCCCAGGCATGCACCGATGCACTGCTTGGCAAGCTATGCTGTGATGGTGTCCCATATAAAGTGGAGGAAGATGGGCACGGTTGTTAGCCCAGCCCTCAGCAAAAAAAAAAAAAAAGAATTGTTATTTAGAGATTGATAAATCATTTTGGTGATCTTTCTACATTTTGCTCATTCCCGTGCTTTGCATCCTGTCATCCTTGGTTCTGTGGAGACTAGTGCACTGCTTTTACTTTATAAAATATAAATAATGAATGGTTTGGAGGTTTACTGGTCTAAAAGAGGGATCTGGAAACTATGAATCATAGGCCAAATCTAGCCTATGAGCCAAATCTGGCCCACCACTTGCTTTGTCAATAAACTTTTACTGGAACACAGCCAGGCTCATTTACTTATTGTCCATGACTGCTTTCACATTTCCACAGCAGAGTTAAGTAGCTGCAGCAGAGACCCTGTGGCTCATAAAGCCTAGAACATTTTCTATCTGGCCGTTTATAATAAAAGTTTGCTGACCCCTTGTCTAGATTTGTTACATAGTTTTCAGTTTTTCTCCAAATTGAAAAGTATCAAAGGACTGGGATGAAGAAAAAGGTAAAACTAAAACCCTTTCTGACTCATGGCTGCATGAAACCATCTGAAACCGCTCTGTCCCGTGATGATGTGATTGGCAGTGGGGAGCTGACTGCTGTGGCTGCAGCTTCCTTCAACCTCTTCCACCAGCACCTGGGGAGGAGACACTGAAGAGCCCATGGTGGTGGTCATGAATTCCAGCAGCAGGGCTGAACCGGGCTGCTTTTCTGTGGAAAGAGCCAGAGTCTAGCTAGAGCTTTGTGTGATATTAGCAGGAAAATGGAGCTCCCATTGGTGAGACCAGGACTGAACAGACAGCACATTTTAACTCCAAATACAGTCACAGCTTGTCTTATGTAAGGAAACACTAGCAACACAAAGACAAGATAAACCACATTCGTTTTTTGTTGTTGTTTTACATGATAGCATTACCCAAAATGATTTTTTTACATATGTATCAGCTTGGTGAAGGTCAGATACTATTAAAAACTTCAATTTGCTTTAGATTTTTTACATTTTAATTGTTCATCTGAGAAAACACCTACATCTTTCTATTTACACACACATACATACACTTACAGTGCGAAAAATAATACCATTGACAATAGCATCACAAAAGGGAAATATATAGCTATAAACTGAAAAAGACAAGCTTAGGACCTATAGAAAAAATAATTATCTTACACTGAGGAACATAAAAGAAGGCTTAAGTACCCTTCTTTTTAGTAGACTAAATATTGTAAAAATGCCAGTTCTTCTCAAATTAGTTTATAAACTCAAGGCAATCCCAATTAAATACTAGAAGACTTGATACAAAATAAAATGAAACAGAGAGTCCAGATATAGACACAAATCTATATGGGGATTTAGTTTATGAGAAAAATAGCATTTAATATTAGTGACAAAAGGGTTTGTTTAGTTAATAGTGTGGTGGTATCTAGTTAATTGCCGCACATCCCCCTGGCACACATATTGTCATGCAAAATGGTCATTTTAACTTTGCCTGTTTTCTCTCAGGAAATGATGAGACCCATTGCTCCCAGGCAGGCAGTGTTCATGAATCGGGTTCCAGACTTCAGGGTCCCGAATGCTGTTTGCACCCATAGTTCTTGCCCTGTTGTTTCAGTGAAAGTTATATGCCTACAGAGAATACATGGAAGGATACACGGAGTTCATTAAACCCAAATGGCAACAACACCAGGAGCCATGCTATCAGCACCCCTGCCTCTTTCATCAGAAAGGGTGTGGGAAAGCTCAGGTCCCTCCTCCACGCCTTCCTTCTGTAACCCCAGCCAAGTCAGCTTCAACCCACCCAGGCTTCCACACCTGTCGAAGGACCGTCTGCCCTGTCTCAGTCCTCCTCCTCCTCAGATTCTCTATTTCACTTTATTTACCCACTCTTTCCTTTTGAAGCTCTGTTTCCTGTCTTCTGAGAGGTGCGTTTTCCAGATTATTCTTGTCTCTGTCTAAGACTGCTCCTCCTTCTACTTCCTAGATTTCACTCCCTCCCTCACCCAGCCAAGGGTAAGCGTACCCCCGTGGGTTTCTTTCTTGAGCTCATTCTTAGTTTCCTTGGCCATTCTCTCCACTAACACACATCGTTTATCACTTACACCAGGTGGCTTTCAAGTTGAAATTTCTGGCCCCAGTCTGTCTTCTAAACTGCAGTGTAACATTTCCAGGTGCCCAGAACATTTCTCCACCTGGACATCCTGTTGACACCTCAGAATCAATTGTCTTCACTTGAAACTTCTCACCTTCCTGATGTCATTATTTCTGTTCGTTGAGACCACAATGCTCTGTCACCCAGGGTCAACCCTGAGTACAGCTCTGACCTCCAACCATCCCAATCTGGGGCTTGATCTTTCATATTAATTTTTCTGAATATCTTTTGATTCTGTTCCTGCCTTTCCATTCCTTCTGTGACCACCATTGCTCAATTTCTTATTATCTTTTGCTTCTACCCTCATAATAACTTTCTAACTAATCTTTAGCCCTTTAGATTTCTTCCTGTCCCAAGCCATCCTATCCCACTGCTGCTATAAGAATCTTCCAAAAGAACATGATCGTAAAGATCATGGAAGACATCTGCCCAAAAGCCATGACTCACCATTGCCTCCTTAATTAATTAAAACTTCATCAGCCTGACTTGCAGACATACCACATTATGGAGCCACTAAATGTTTACAGTCTCATCTCGCTGTCCTAGAGCCAAACTGAACCATTCACTGTTTCTGGAACCGAGCCTAAACTTTCCAGCCTTTTTGATTTTTTTGCTTTGATGGCACCCCATACTTGGCATATCTTTTTCACAACCTCCCACTCCACCTCTCCCCTACATCTAGATCTGTCAAAATCCAGCAAAGCCCATCTATAAACCAACCCTTATTTACTCATGTTTTTATCCACAATTCCATGATTATTGGTTTATTAGGGGTTTTTTATTCATGCAACAAACATTTATTGAGCACCTACTCTTTGACAATCTGCTGGACATTGTATTTGGTACCTATGCCAGCATTTACTGTCTCAGTTAGTGGATCTACCCTCACCCAGTTATCTGATGTAGAAATCTGAGCACTGTTTTTGATTTCTCCCTCTTTTACCCATCACATCTCATTGACCACCAAGTCCAATAGTTTTGGCTTTCTGAATGCCTCTCAGATCTAGTCTTATCATTTGTCACTATTGCCACTGTCTTAATCCAGACTGTCATTAGCTCTCATCCACTTTAGGAACCTTCCATCTTATCTTCTTACCTTCAGGTCCCACTCACTTCAGGTCACCGATCATATTGCCATCAGAGCTAAGTGAACTTTAACATGTCTCTCATCTTAAAAATAAAATCTGTGATAATGACTTATTACCTTTAGTAGCGATTCTGCGAGCACATCTGTATCACTGTGGAGCTTTGATAACATGAAGAAGCCCAGGCTTCACTCTGGACATACTAAACCAAGTCTCCAGTGATAAATCTGGGCACATGTATTTTTGAAAGCTCCACAAGTGATCCTGAAGCCCATTTCTGGTTAAGACATTCATTTAGAATGAAATCTACGTTCTCTAATATGGTAAATAGTGTAGCCTCCATGTATCTGTTTCACTTACATCATCTCCTGCCACTCTCCTCCATTGATCCTATGTTTCAGCCAAACAGAAATTTTATCAATTTTCAAACTTTCCATCCTTTCAGTACCTTTATTCCTCTGCTTGGAATAACTTCTCTGTTATCTTTCCAAATTCTCATCCACCTTTCAAGGCCAGCTCAAATACCCACTCTTCTATGAAGCTTTTAAAGCTATCTCTACTCCATTTCCTACCCATCCCAATTTCCATTCCCAGGGGACAGTGCTGTTTGCACCCTCATCTCTGCATCCTAGCTACCCTAGTACTTTCTACAGACCATGTAAAGAACCTAGCTGACTCTGTTGTCATTTGATTACATTTTGTCTTCTGTATTGGACTATGAGTTCAATAATCTTTTTTCCCTAGTACTAAATACAATTGTATATATGTATAATTTTTTTATAATATAAATGTTTTCCAATTTTTTTTATACTTTTATTTATTTATTTTTTCCCCCAAAGCCCCAGCAGATAGTTGTATGTCATAGCTGCACATCCTTCTAGTTGCTTTTTTAATTTTTTAATTGTGGTAAAATACACATAACTTAAAACTTACAATTTTAACCATTTTTGAATGTACAGTTCAGTGGTATTAAATACATTCATATTCATATACAGCCATCACCACCATCCGTCTCCAAAACTCTTCATCTTGCAAAACTGAAATCATACAGTATTTGTATGTATGATAAGTAGAATCATACAGTATTTGTCTTTTTGTGACTGGCTTATTTCACTTAGCATAGTGTTCTCAAGGTTCATGCATGTTGTAACATATGTCAGAATTTCCTTCCTTTTTAAGGCTGAATAATATTCCATTGTATGTATATACTCATTGATCCAATATATATTTTGAATGAATGATCCAAAGGACTATAGAAGATTACATCTTTGCTTGATATCCCAACAGAAAATATAGAAATTACTTCAGACTGATATAGTCAGGAATTAATGGTTCTATTCTTCTTCCCAACAAGAGATTTAATATTGTATGTGTATTGCTGCTATGGAAACTAATTATATTTAGCTTTTCATTGTTCTTTAATATATGCTTGTCTTAAG